ATATATATATATATATATATATATATATACACACATACACACATATATATACATATATACACACATATATCAAATATATATTATTTATTATAAATTGTATGATATATGTTATATATATAGTCCTATATATTATATACCATATGGATTTTAAGTCTATATTTTTTTTCCTTTGGATTTAGCTCTCAGCAGTTTCCAGCACCCAATAGCAGCAAAATCCAGAAGGATGAAGAAATCTCAGGGGTATTCAGATAGCAATGACTACAAACGCTCAAGACAGCAGAAAACTGAGGACAGCAGTCTCTACTCTTCACCGTGTGCAAAGGGACTGACCCATGAACAGCTTTAAGAGCACTGACCTTGCAAATGTAAATCCATACATTAGTTGCAGTCATTCTTCTTCAAGTGGACATCCTGCCCTCGCCGTCAGTGTACACCTGGGAGTATCCTCTGCACAACCTTTCAGTTGACTCGGTTCAGAGAATAAACAAGCCAGCCCAGCCTCAGGCAACGGTCTACACCCATCTATTCTCTCCTTTGATCAGTTTATACAGCCCATTGAATTTTGGAGAAACAGAAGCCCAGGATTGAGAGATTTATTCCAGATCACACAGCCAGTGACTGGGGATGTATTTCATGCTGGAGTTCATATTCTATCCATGGTCCATGCTGCCTCTCCTGCCGTGATGAGGATGAGAGCGTTGTATTCAGTCCTGGGCTCACATCTATTTCTACACTGCTTGGAAAAGCTAATTAGCATACATGAACTTCAGTTTGCTATCTAGAAATTAGGGATGGTAATACTTCTACAGTGGAGTAGTTGTGAGGAAGGAGATGGCAGAGGCCACATGCCCTTAGTGTGATATCTGAAATAGAGTTAGGACCCAATAAATAGCACTTGATTGGTGCCAGCGTTTTGTTATTTTTGCTATTATTTATAATGCCTTCAGAGGAAAATTTCTTGGAAACTGCCCTAAAAAGAGATCAACACCTGACCTACAGCTTTCTGCAAGTGACTTTTGGTGCTGATCGTATAAGCCATGTGGGTTTGGTGGGAAACACTTCAATTAAAAGTTGTCCCTCAGATTGGGTTAAGTATGCCACTGTTTGGGTACAACATGCATTTCCTCAGCTAGTTCAAGCACTGACCTTTTAATATTTTCACCAAGGGAAATGGAGACAAATAACAGGATTTGAGTCAGATAAAGCCCTGGGAGATTGGAAAGGGTAATATTGTTGCTGACAATTTAGTAAAATCATGAGTACCCTGAAAAGTTCTGTTTAGGGTACCAATTCCCATCCAGTGTTAATGTCTAGAATCTTCCGAAACAGGCATTGCACGCCAAGGAAGCTTGTTCTTGCAACTCGGGTGGGGCACTGTGGTAGACACCATTGATTTGGATGTCTGTCCAGGTTTTCTTTCCTGAGCACTGTGCACCTCACCCTGATGCAGGAATCAAAGACCTGAGGCTGTGTGGATCAAGAATGCTATGCAGTGTGCAAAAAAGGAGCCTGGCTGGGTCAGAACCGGTCCCCTGGTTCTACTGCTTAAAGGCTATCTCCGTGCTGCTTGCTGAGGAGGACCTCGAGACCGACATCAGAACCCTAAGGGTCTCTCTTTCCACCGTGTGCTAGCTTGCGTCATAGAAAGCATCTTTGTCTTTACTGGCACCGTACTTTTCACCAAATCCTCCTACAGGTGAAAACAAAACACAATAATACAAAACCTTATTGGAACAAAGGAAATCTACTTAATGATTTCAGCTAAGGTGCTGATGCCCGATGTAGGAAAAGCTGGTACATGGTCACCCTGCCCTCTTGTAGAAAACAGTTTAATAGGGCTTCCTTCTGTCTCTGGTATGAGATATTCCCTTTTAAAGCAGAACCCATTCATGGCTTGGTCTCAGCACTAAGGAAACTAGACTTCCCCTGACATTTCTGAAGCTTGTTTGGAGTTTAATTGCGTTAAATTGGGTCTCAGAGCAGCCCCAAACTTCTGAGACACTCCTGGAGCTCATTTGGGCTTCTGCCCCCAGGAATTTCCTTAAGCAGAATCCCTTGTAGTGGACTAACAAAGCCCACCAGAGTCATTTAACTTCATCTTAGAGATAATGAAGGGGCAGGCGGCTGGGAGGGGCTTTCTCCCCATTTCTTAGCCCCCTTGAATCTAATACTATGATTCTTAACCCTATCAGACCCACCACCTACTTATAGCAAACATCTTATAATGTACTCTTTACTATCCTAAAATGAAATCCCTATTCACACAATTAAAACAATGTAACATCTTAGCGATAATATAGAGGAGAAATAAAAAGAAAGAAATTTCTACTAAAAGATGTTTCAATATGTAAATTTTCAAACAGGGCCACAATGAAGGTGTTGCATACTTGCATTTATATTTGGAAACTCTGTGAATGCAGAGACTGTGAAAAATGGGCTCACAGAGTCTTGGATCCAAAACTACCATTAGTGCTGCTATTAGGTAAGTCATGGTACCATCCAAAATGGTGAACAACTCTTGGAAGTTTCAAACAACAGAAACTCTTTGATTTACATGGTGGTTGGGTTTCTGCAAAATTAGTATCTTGCAAAAGATACTTTGTATTTATGGGTAAGATAGAGTTATGTTCTTGGCTCTGATAATTATTCATAGGTTTTGTTCCTCATGGCCCTCTGGAGTGACACGTGTGAAGTATGTGGAATGCAGGACAGTTCTTTGTTGGGTGGGACTGTCCCAGGTGTTGTAGAACATCTGGAATTTCTGCCCCTTCCCATAATTGGGGCAACCAGGATGGTTGATTGGACAAATTCTGCTCTTCATGGATTTCATAAGTTAGAAATTAAACTGGCACCATTAAACCCATAACTCACACTGCCTGTTCTTAATAATGTGGCAGTATGCTTGTACTTCTGCAAAAAGTGATGGAGAATTGTATTTTTATTTTAATAGCCTTCCTAGTCTGCTGGTCTGTGCTCAGGTTGGAGCTCAATCCCCAGGGCACTTCCTTGAATTCTAGCCCATTATAAAAGGGCATTTCCACTCCCATTCTTATCCCCCGTCCAATGTCTGCCACCTTCCTGCCCTCGCTGACATGGTGCTGGCTCACATGGACCCCTACACAGGCTGAGATGGCCAAAACTGGTCATCCAGGCCAAGCCTCATTTGATATTTTTTTCTGTCCATCCCAGGAGAAGCCTTCCGACTAATAATGGTGAGTTCTTTTTCTTGAGTCACGAATCTTGCTCTGGAAAGAGCCTATTAGCCATCAATAAATTGAACCCAATGACAAATGGAATTAAAATAGATCAAGCCCAGTACTTTCCAGCCGTTATTTCTGGCAGTGGAGGGTTGATAGACATTCTAATTTGAAGAGAATGGGGTGCCTGTCAGCAGTTTCCCTCTGCTTTGCTCTTCCAGTCATCCCCTTTTGGAATGGTTTTGATGAGCCGACCTCCCTTTGGCTAAGTGAGGTCCAGTCCATAGTCTAACTGCCAGGTTCTTTCTGATCTGACTCTTCCCTTGTCAGTCTCCTGTTTTGTGACTCCTGCCCTTTATGCTTAGTGCCCTGACAACTCCAAAAGTCTCAGTAGTTTCCAAATCTTTACTCAGGCATTCCCTCTGCTTAGGAGGCTGCCCTCCCCACCTCCTGATTGGTTCCTGAAAACTGCAGCTCAGACAATGCCTTCCTCCTCACACCATGCTTAACCACCCACCACCCTCAACATTGGAATTAACCTCTCTGAGCTGTGTGTAGGCTCTGTACATACGTGCTTCCATTGCCACACCCACCACGCTGCCTTGTAATTTATAACTTAATCACGTGTCTCCCCATTACTCCGGGACATCCTTATGAGCCAAATCCATATCTTTTTTATTTTAAATAAATTTTAATTTTAATTTTTTAAAAAGATTTTATTTATTTTTGTGTGTGTGTGTGAGAGAGAGAGAGAGCCTGATGCAGGACTTGATCCCAGGACCCAGAGATCATGATCTGAGCCGAAGGCAGACGCTTAACCGACTAAGCCACCCAGGTGCTCTAAACTTTAATTTTTAGAACAGTTCTATATTTTTAGAAAAATTGCAAAGACAGTGCGGAGAGTTCTCATACTGCACAGCAGTTTCTCCTTTGACTAACATCTTACATTTGTTATAATGGTTGAACCACTATGATACATTATTGACTAGATCCATACTTTATTTAGATTTCTTTGGTTTTTACCTAATGTCCTTTTTGGTTCCAGGACCAACCACACTATGTTTAGTAGTTCCTATCTCCTCAGACTCCTCCTGGCTGTGACAGCTTCTCAGATGTCCCTTGTTTCTGACCTTGGCAGTTTTGAGGAGAACTGGCCAGGTATTGAATGACCCTCAGTTGCGATTTGTCTCAGGTTTTTCCCATGAGTTGGCTGGTGCTGGGGTACATATAATTAACATGATTTATCATTGTTACGATGCGCTTGATTGTTTGGCTGAGTTAGTGTTTGTCAGGTTTCTTCACTGTAAAGTTGCAGGCCTCCCACCCCTTCCCATACCATTTATGGCTCTTTAGAAAGAGTCACTGTGTGCGGCCCACACTCGAGGAATAGGTTCTACTGAGTATACAAATTATTTGAAATACTTCTACACAGTAGATTTTTCTCTTCTCCCCCATTTACTCATATGTTTGTTGTTTTGTTTTTTAAGATTTTATTTATTTGACAGAGAGAGACACAGCGAGAGAGGGAACACAAGCAGGGGGAGTGGGAGAGGGAGAAGCAGGCTTCCCGCGGAGCAGGGAGCCCGATGCGGGGCTCAATCAGGACCCTGGGATCATGACCTGAGCTGAAGGCAGACGCTTAAGGACTGAGCCACCCAGGCGCCCCTACTCATATGTTTTTATATCCTTGAAGACTGAGTGCTTAGCTCAGGATTGAGTGAATTGTAGGTGCTTAATACACTTTATTGGTTCTGGTTTTCTAAGCAACCATTGTAAATCTCTCTCAATATGGACATAACAATGCTAATAACTTCAATGATAAGAACCTTAAAACAGGAAATGTTGTTTTAGAAGCACTAGTCTGTTTTAGCTCATTTACTCCTCACAACAATCCTGTCAGGATGACACTATTATGACCAAAGAGAATTTGTTTAGCTTATCTAAGGTCACACAGCTAATAAGTGGTAGAGACAAGATTCAGACCCATGCTGTCTAATTCCAGAATGCACACTCTTAAAGCAACAGAGGCTGGAGTGCCTCTTTGGTTTCTGTTCCAATTACCTTGGCCTTGCTCTGTTGAGCTTATCTCCTATGAGAACAGGGTTCAATATGCAAATAGTTCCCAGCTGGAAATCCTCTAGCAGAGCCTTCTTGTTTATACCAAATTCTCCTTCAAATCTGTGAAGCCTGGGGCACCTGGGTGACTCAGTTGGTTAAGTGTCTGCCTTTGACTCAGGTCATGACTGCAGGGTCCTGGGATGGGCTCCCTGCTCAGTGGGGAGTCTGCCTCTCCCTCTGCCCCTCCCCACTGGTGCTCTCCCTCTCAAATAAATAAATAAAATCTTTAAAAAAAATAATAAGTCTGTGAGACCTGCGAAACATACTGGGGCAGAAATTCTTAAGAAATTTTAAGAGGTGTCCCTTTTGAGGCTTTCTTTGGAACACTGATCATGTTCTCCAAATTATGGAGTCCAGACCCCAACATTGTACCCTGGAAATGGGCATACCATACTCAGCAGTTACGAATGGGAGGAACTGCCTGGGTTCATGGTCCTAATATTTTTCATACTTTAAAATAGGACACATGGCTCCTCAGGGTCATAGAGGAGGTGTAACAAGAATGCTTAGCTATTGGGATTTCAGGATAATTTGGTAATCTATGCTAAGAATAGGTCAGAATATTGCACATTGG